ACGTGTATGGTCTCTGTATCAAAACAAATATGGCTGCTTATGAGGTGCTTCACAGGCATCACTGAAAGAAATAAATCTGATGTTTGGTTCTGCGTAGAGTTGCAGTAGAGGGAGGGGTGACTGGACTGACCACTAGGGGTGTGCAAAAATATCGATATCGTATCGTTTAATGTGATGATACAGTATGGATATCGTGGGCTACTGTATCGATATTTCACCAAGAGTATTTTTAGGTGTGTTTTACTAAATTATTTTGTTACAGAGCTACAGTTTTGTTGCTTGTGGAGTGAAAGGAAACTCGTTTATGCGACACATTTGACATTTTTACTGTTTTGAGGATTAAAATGTTTATGTTTCATATGAACTTTGCACAAGAAGTAATTTAACAAAAACTTTTAGTATCACAGCCATGATTTAGTCTTTATTTTTTATTTAACCGTATTGAATTGATTTGAAATATAGCATATCAAATCGAAAGTGCACTGTATCGAGATATGTATTGTATCGTGGCCTGTGTATCGAGGTATGTATTGTATTGGCAACTCCTTAATGATACTCAGCCCTACTGACCACAGACTCATAGAAACGCAGTAGCAATTTCGGGAAATATTCTGAGCTGAGTTCCATATCAGGAATAGGAACACATTTTAATGAAGAAAATTGTGAAATAAAAACACCAGGATCATGTAGAGCGGGTTAATACAAACATTTTAAGACCAGGGGCCTCATTTATAAAGCTTACTTACGCAAAAATCCTTGCGTATGCGCTCTCTACGCCAACCGCGGTATTTATGAACCTCGACTAAGGCATGGTGCTTTGCTTAACTCTACGCCATCTCGGGACCTCCTGTAAGCTCTACGCAAAGTCTGGAGACACGGGGGAAAAGCGACACTCGTGGAGAGAAGCAGAAGTGAACAGAGTTTGTTTCAGTTTCAGTTTCAGATTTGTGCATTTAAATGTTTGGTTCGCCAAAACACGGAGAAAGGCTGTTTATTCCACTCATTATTCTCCACAATATTATACATTTGACACTCGTGCACGAGCGCGGCCACGTTCCTGGACCCGGTGTAGCGCAGAGTCTCCCACAGTCCACACCGCGACCATAGACTTCTACAAAACACAGTCTGTGACCAACACAGAGGACGAAATAATGACCCGACCTGAGAGAAAACTCTTCCCTTGGACGCAGCAGGAGCCAGACTTTGATTTAATGACCGCAACTTTAACACTTTTACTTTAGTCTTTACGCACGGAGCGCCAGAGTGACCCGAGTCTGCGGCAGAGTCGGCGTCAGAGCACATCTACTGGAGGGGCGTGGGTCACCAGCAGGGGGGGCACTGCCATTTGAGAAATATTTTAACGCCGTGGAGTCATACACAGCAGAAATGCTATCAAAGGCATTGTTCTTAAACAGTATTGGGCTAATTATGTGTTGTTGTTATTATTCATTATTATGAATATTATTATTATTATTAGCTGCAATAGTTGTTGAGGCTGTAGTAGACAATGCTCACACAAAACAATAATAAAAGGTTGAGGTTTATTAAAAACAAGGCCTGCCACTGGTTGTAAACATTAAACAACAGCCTCTCGTCAAAAACACCCCTGAACAACATCGCTGAAAGAAGCAACCGGGCAAGAAATAGACACGCATCGGGCAGCACCAGGGCTGTAGTGACGTGGTACGCGAGGGTGCGCCGTCCACACACTTCTCCTGATGTGAGATATATATATATATATATATATATATATATATATATATATATATATATATATATATATATATATATATATATATATATATATATATTAAAAAAAAAGAAATAAAATAAAAATGGTGGTATAATTTTTGAGAGGGGCACCAAGGCCAAAATTATAAATGTATATTATGAATATTTTGGTTACTCGTGGCTGAACTATATCAGAGCACAATGAACAGCCACCCAAAAAGTTTACGCAACACAACGTAACACGCCGCTCACACCCAGACAACAACGTCAGTAAAACTACAATAAGAGGCTACGATCACAACATGAACACAGATGCCGCTCCTACAGCACACGACAGAACAACCAGAGCAGCTCCATCACACCCACCAGCTCATTTACGCACTATTTAACTACAACACTATTTAACTACAACACTATTTAACTAGAACACTATTTAACTAGAACACTATTTAACTAGAACACTATTTAACTAGAACACTATTTCTCTGTGACGCTCCGTCTTCAGATTTGCTGCAAACTAAAGAAAACCAGCCTCTTACCTTCTCCAGAGACTGAAGCAGAGTGTTTCCTCTGTCCACTGTCCCACTGGTTCTGTCTCCAAAAGTTTATTGTCCAATATGAAGAGATGAAACTGGTCCAAATCCTGGTCTAGTCTGGTCCGTGACATGAGGTCCGGTGTTCCGGATTGTCTGGTGATCAGTTTAACTGGTAAAGGCGGGGCCACATCTGGAAGCATGGGGGGCGTGTCCTCTCGGCTTCTATTCACTCC